CAGAGAGCTAAGGGAGCTGGTAGCTCATTCTGCAAAATTAAAGTTTAAGGATGGCTTCCTTTTCAGGACTGATGGATAAGCTCAAAATGCTACTAACCATATAAATATTTTCATTGGTATGGATACAGAAAAAGCTATTTTCTTAAGAAGCGTGTCTTCCATTATCAGTTGAGCCTTGTCACGAAGTTCTGGCCATAGAAGTCATGGAGAATGAAAATACTGCTGTAGATGCAGCATGTACCTTGCTGTTGGTGATCCTAAGGTAGTGAATGGTCTTCTCATGCTGCATATCACCAGCATACCAAACAGAGATCTACAGAGTTTAAAATTCAAACCTATAAAGGCAAATAAATATATTGCAATAACTAAAGAAAAGGAATCCTGATTGGTGAGTAAAGATGGTCACGCTAAACTCCACAAAACTAGTAATTTTTGTTTATTGTCAGAAATAGAAACACAGAATTAAAATTACTTTCAAACTAGTTTAATACAACCAAATATAGACTCATTCACTAACATAAGGATTTTGGATGACCAAAGAATGAAGAAAGGGTGTAAGACAGTCACCACCTCCCTTTGGAGGAAGACAGTTCTCAGTGCTCTGCCAATGTCTAAAAGGGACCTGACAGACACCTTCAGGAGCTTTGAAATCAAGCCAAGTTCAGTGTTGCGGGGAGGAAATCCTTGGAACAGCAGAGTGCAAAGGCATTAAAGAAAGAGAGGCCAAGGAGAAGTCTGCCTTATTCCGCATCCATAGATGTGGAATGAGCCCACGTTTTCAACGTTTGTTCAAACTGAGGCATTGAAAAGCGCTTCATATGTTCTTATTCCAGCACACCGGCTTTGTTTTGGGCATGAAACTAAATGCACCCCAAATACTCACCTCCTCTGTTTTATTTTCATTTGTTTTGTACACTTTCTTCTACCTCTGAATCAACCAGTAGAAAGAATTAATGCTAGAAATTAAGCTAGGAGTACAGCATTTCATTGCCCATTCCTCAGTTAATTTTTTTCCATATTTGAATTGTGCATTAAGGTATCCAGACTAGGGACTTGACCAGAACACACCATAGCTCTCCTCTGGCCACATGCCTGTAACTCCTCTCTGTGGACAGCTTGATCCTCTTTTTGGACTACCTACTTTTGACAGAGCCTTTAGGCTTCCCAGAAAGCACTGAAGCTTTTCCTTATTCAGTGCAAGAAAATAAACGCAGCTGGCATATTTCTCCTAGACACATTTCACAAAGGTGGTGTGTGCACAGCTATCATGTTTTGGAACAATCAAAAACACAGTTAGTGAGAAGAGATAACTCAAGAATATGTCTGATGGCAAAATAAAATTCTAAAGGGAAGAATCAGAAGTCTCCAAAGATGACTCAGAAGGCAGTAAAGATCCCCGAGCTGCAAATAGATAGTCAGATGCTAGAAGCATACCCAGGGAAAGTATCATCTCCTTTTCCTGTTTTTACAATCTTTCCTCTTGGCCACTATCAGACACATGATACAGGCTAGGAGACCTTCGATATGATACAGGGAGGCTGCTCTTACATTTTATGATTGATAAAACAACAACAATAGCAGTTAAAAAGTAGGGAAGAGACAGCCAACTAGTTACTCTGATCTGAATCAGCAATTAAGAGGAACTGAAGGTCACTTGATTGCGACAAGAGACAAAAGTCATGCAATAGTCCTAGTTATATTGCTTATGCAAGCGTGTTCTGGTCTTCAAGATGGGAGCATATAAGTCCCAAGATGTCAACACATACATGGACAAACATCCAACGAGAAACCTCAAAGAAAAATTCCTTACTAAGAAAAGAATACAGCAACTTCTGGTTTGTTGTCTGTTCATTACTCAGTGAACCTGTATTCTTTTCTTAAACAAACAAAAAAGTTATCTCCAAGTAACTGTTTCTCAGTTGTGAACCCACAAAAGGTGGTTAGGACAGAAAATCTGGCAAGAATGAGTGGGTAGACTCATGCATAGTTCTACATGGTTTAACAATGAAGGGTTAAACTGACATATTACTTGCTTTTGTCTCCAGCCAAGAAATACAATAACAATTAGGAAGTTTACTACAAAATATTATTAAAAATTGACAGGAGTCTTAAAGATCCCAGAATTCTTAGCTGTGTAAAATAGTATTATAATCAATATTTTTAAAATACGGGGAATTTTGCTAAGTAGGAAAAAAAACAACTTTGAAGATACAACTGGTACATACTCTTCAGTTTTATATTTAATCCAAGGAGTGGTCAAACATTGGAACAGGCTGCCCAGGGAGGTGGTGGAGTCACCATCACTGGAAGTGTTCAAAAAACATGTAGACATGGTACTTCAGGACATGGTTTAGTGGGCATGGTAGTGTTCGGTTGGTGGTTGGACTGGATCTTAAAGGTCTTTTCCAACTTCAATGATTCTGTGATTCTGAGTATTTTTACCAGTGATTTTATTCAGAACACAAAAAATACGTAGGCCCTAAAAGAGCCTTTTTCCTTCATTTCACGTGATATTTCAACCTTCTTTTGAGAGAGATTTGGTCGGTCACTCTGAAGGTGACTGGCTGGAGATAGTAGTTGTACAAACACCCACTCTTCCTGGTGTATTTCAAGACACACCCAAAAAAGACATTTTCTTTTTCAAGATTTGTGTCTATTTAATAGCAACCCAGATGTCCTCCAAAATAGTATAATAATGAACCCCATGAGTATATAAAACTTTCTTTAAGGTCTAGAACATAACCAAGCAAAAAAACCAAACACACACAACCCCCCCACACCCAACCAAACCACACAATAAAAACCCATGTTTTAAAGAAGAGACAGCACCCATGGAATGGTGCAACATTCAAAGAGGTCTCCAGGAGAGAAATGGGTACTGAGGCCTAAATATTTGGCACTAGTGGTTGAAGTATTCCCAACAGCTGTTATGCCCTGCTTCTTTAGTGAACTCAGAACTAAACATTCATTTGGCAACAGTTCAAGACTGGTGAGCACCTTGCAAACATCCTTCCAGCTCAACTCATAAGAAGGAGTGGGGCAGGCAGAAGCAAAACAAGACTTTTGCAGTACCAAGCAAACGTTACAAAAGATAATGTGCTTTCCCAGGTTTTGTAGAGAACAGATTAGCAGCTCAAAAGCAGGTATTTAAAAAGCAAATGCAGTATTGACACTCTTGTAGCCTCTGGGAATAGGGAAGGGCTCCACATCATGACCACAGAAGTCATCCATGATGTGGTTTACATCCACCTCATAGCCAAAGGAAAATATGCATTATATTAATTGAATTGCTTTGTATATTCCTGGTTTCAAAAATTCTTAGTCTAGAAACAATCACTTGTGTTTTAATGAGGCAACCTACACGGTCTACAATCAACAGAAATTCAGAACTCCAGATAACAACATCTATCAGAACACTATCTACTGTGATATTATTTATATTAATACATTCCCACAATCCAAAAAAATGTAGTCACTTTCTCACTTCCATTAATGCTATTTACCTTCCATCCAGAACAGAATAAATTGCAATCCCCAGACAAAGGTAAAGAAACAAAAGGTGCATCATATTTAAAATGCTGTAGTTTAGTTACGTTCCAGAAAGGAAAGTATGTACTGTTGATGTGAACAACTTTCTAGGTACTTAATTTGATACACCTTGATTTCTAGGCACTTACATGACCTATTGCTTCTAGAGACATCTTGTACATTTAAAATTAACCATTTCTATATATGGTTCCCAAGTCCTTTATGTGAAGGCAAAATGTCAGAACTATCTGGAGCAAAACTACATCTTTATTAATAAAGGTGCAAGAGCAACCTTAAAAATACAACTAGAGAAGTAACCTAAACTTTATTTAGAATTTTAACTGAAACATCTAGCAAACACAGTTGAGTAACCGGGGGATCTTTTTTGTAATTTCCTTGCCCCTGATCCCAGCTGACTATTCTTAATTTAAAAAGATAGTTCAGGAGGTAATCTGCCTATTTCATTGCAGGCAGCTTTGCGTATTAAAATAAGTTAACAGAAGCAACAAAACAACTGCTCAGTGCAGACATTTAGAACATGGATATTCACGGTTGCAAAGAATAGAAAAATACAGACTAAAGCCTGTTGTTTCAAATGTTTTACATTACTTTCAGTATCGTTATCTTTACTTTGTAAAGTAAGAGTTTGCTGTAGTCACAAAATTGGAAAGCCTCAGCCCACACTAGATCTACAGAACTCCCTATATACATATATATTCATAAAGAAGTACAGAGAGGAAAACAAGCATCATAGCACAATGAAAAAGCTGAAAGCTGACAAAAATGGAGGATGAAAAATTATTATTTTGAGATGTCAGTTAACTCTTTACTAAAAACCTATCCGTCCAAAATTCACATGCAAATGTACATGATTCCTCACACACCCAAGTGGATGGTGTTTACAAATGCTTGCAATAACATGCATTATTCCCTACCAAGAGTGTCAAAAACAAACTTCTGTTTTGCTTGAAGTAGGTCTAATGAGTTATTGGTTTCTAGAGCAGTCAGGAATATTAAGAGTGAAAGCTACAACAATTAATGTATTTATACTTCCTTTCTTCCACCTGTGCAGAAGCTCACCATTAGACTGGTAACATTTCCTAAAGGGAAGAACACATACACAGAAAATGCAAAAAGCAGATTTTCAACTCTCAATGCAGATTATTATATATGCTAGACTTGATCCAGAACTTCCTTAAAGTGAATCTTTTCACTGATCCAATGGACTTCAGGACTGGCCTTCAGCATCACCATCACCTTCCTACCAGTGAACATAGAGTGACCATGCCAATCAGATTTAAAGAGTGTATTCCACCCAAGACTCTAAGTGAAGAAGAATGAAGTAGGAATGAGAACTACTTACCTGAAAGGCCTGTATACAAAAATCCTAGTCAGCAAAAAAAAAGCATGTTAACCATTACAATGAAAAGATAAACTATAAGCATTTGCATAAAACTCAGGAGACTCCATACTTCTCTTCTTGATGCTGGTCCTCTTGGTCACTTAGTTCATCATCATCTACCATATGCCCAAATGGTTCAGAAGAAATTGATACCATATTAGACAGGATAACTCTGCTATCACTGCTTCCTGTAAGGATCAGTTGATCATGTGAATGATTATATCTGACATTCCAGACCCTAAAAAAAGAAATCAGAAAGAACAAGAGGCTATTCTTGGCAGATAGTGCATCAATGTTAAATGATTTTCTTTTAAAAACAGCACTAAAAATTGATCTTTGACTTAAATGTTGTAAGTACACATAGAAGTGACATGCCTCATTCCAAAGGCTGTTTTTTGCCGTCTTCATTTGGCTTTTAAGCTTCCATGTCATCTGTTTTCTATGAGGTGTCTTTAAAATTCAACAAATAAGTTTTGAAAAAAAAATCCAAAGAAGAAAACATACCATTCAGTGGCATCATTCCTTGAGGGTACATGTCAATTCATTGTTTAGTAAGTCAGATATTTACGTTCTAAATATAAAAATTTCCCCAAAGCAAAATATAGATTAGAAATAACCCGTTAAACAAAAATCTCACAACATTCTTATAGCAAAGTTTAAAATAGACCCTAAAACAAAAGTAGGATTATATTTCTCTTCAATTTTTACTTTTTACATATCAAGTTAATACCAAATGTCTTATGGTTCTTTTTTTATTCTTTTTCTTTTAATCTTCTGAAAAAAGTATAAATGCTGCATCTGTTAATTCACAGCTTCATTCCCCTCAGAGTAGCTTCAGGGTCCAGATTTA